AGCGTTAAACAATAGAGACTAATACAAGGAATCCCTCGGCCACAAGGCTTACAAACAGCTTAAAAGATGAGAATACTAACAACAAGTAGCTCAAATTCTTAATTTTTCATTTCTAACTTCTTTTTTTGGCTACTTCAACCTGTAGTTCCTCCCAACTTGATGGTATCAACATCTTGAGCATACAGCAGGCTGATCCCACACCTTTTCACCGTTAATCGGTCGCCGAAGTGGGCATCCCCAGCGTTGAACTCAAAACAGGCCTCAGTGACAAGTTTGTAAAAAGAAGTGGAGCGATTTAAATTTGCTCCCTTCCGAAGTGCAAACGCACTATACCACACAAATATGAATTCGAACGGCAAATAAGAAAGCTTCCCCTCTCCTTCAGTAAAAGGAATAAAGGAAGGATAAATGACTTCATGACTTTGGCCACTATTAGTTTTGAAATTGCACTTGCATACAATCTTCATGAAACCCAAAGAAAGGAAAAAAGGTATGGCATTGTCAGCGACAACAAGAGAGAAAGCGAAACCCAAAAAATCTGTACCATACCAATCTGGAGGAAGCTTGATAGTTATCGAAGATCCCTTATTTTGATGGCAGAACCAATGTGGAATTTGATTTCCCACACATATAGTGCTAACTAAAGTCTCATAAGAGATTTCCTGTAACATCGACGCATGGACATCAAATAAATTATTCAACACGTGAAAAAATGGCATGAGGGAGATATGAAAGTGTGCCTGTGTGTGCGTGCGTGCATGTGAGAGAGAGAGAGAGAGAGACCGTGTTTGGTGATCAGCAAAAGGAAAACGCCCTCGAAACAATTCATATTTATCCCCAGCTTGTGTGAGTGAATTCACTGGCGCAGTAGCCACTCGCATAATTCTCAACCGTGTGTCCGTCATTATATTGGTCCTTGCATTTTCATCCAAGTTTGTGCACTCACCAAAATGAAAACGCCCTCGAAACAATTCATATTTATCCCAAGCTTGTGTGAGTGAATTTCTTGAACTGGAAACTGTCTTCAGTGAAGTGCAGCCCTCTGCTTGAAGACAACGTAGCACTGGGAGCTCTGGTAAAAATTTTATACTTGTGCACCATCCCAGATTCAGACACCTAAGCTTGTCAAGATGTTTAAAATAGGAAGGAATTCGAACCAATTTTGTACAGCCGTAAAGATCTATATGCTCAATTTTTGGACAGCGAGAGAGATCTGGAACTTCAGTCAGATGCTTGCAAAAACATAGTTCAATCACTTTTAAGTTCCCAAGATTCTGTAACATATTAAAGAGAAATGGAAAGAAGAACATTATTGACTTCGGCCAAATAGATTTCCAGAGGCACCATAGTTTATACAAAGAACAAAAGTAAGCAAATATACTTGTATTAAAAAAAAAATTGAAAAACAGAAGAGGAAGCATATATATACCTGGTTTTTACTCCAAAGTTTTTTCCCAGCAAAGCTGTAGGGCAATCGAAGCTCAACAAGATTTTGTAGAGAAAATTTTGTTGGAAGAGATTTCAACGGGTATTCCTGCCAGTAAAGATACCTGAGAGAATTGGGAAGAGACTGAAGACCTTGAGAAAGGTCCAGATTGTTGTTGTACCTCTTGCCAAAGCGAGGAACATATAATAAGTATTTCACTAATTTTGAACCAAAATCAAAGCCATAGTTGTACTCGACTCTCAGATGAGGATCATGAATCATCAAAAATCTTAAATTAGACATCTTCTTGAAGGGTGATCCACATAATTCCAACCGTGTAATGTTAGACGTGTCAAAGGATATGCATTGAACTGTTGAAGTTCCCTGGAAATCAAGAGAAAATAGTATAATGAGAATAAATGTACAACAAAGATTACTAAAAACTACTTTTGTTGACATAAGCTTATACAAAATGAGTTTCCGCTGTCCCCTGTCGTAGAAAGTTCATTATTTTTTATTCTTACCGTATCATTCTCCAGTACTTGATAGACATCATCAGCTGCCCACAACCTATTACGTTTTCCTGGCTCGTCCCTGCATTGTTCACGAACAATTGTCCGGCCCATTTCTTGCAGCAAATCATGCATCTCTAAGTAATTCGTCTCTGAAATTGATATGAGAGACTTGTCAATGAGAATTTGGATTCCCATCACGAAGAAACCCCGACTATCTAATATTCTTTTTGCAGTATAAACATCTGCCCCTTTCAGGAAGCATGCAATGTCAAGAAAGCATTCCTTCTCATTTTCTTCTAATCCATCATAACTAAGTCTCAACACATTCTGAATTTTTTCGCTAGGAAATTTTTTCAATCTGTTCAATTCTTCATCCCAGTCTTCTTCTGTATCGCAGCGACGGAATAAGGCACCCAAAGTTTTAAGAGCCAATGGAATGCCTTGAATATAATCTATCACCTTTCTTGAAAACTCTGTATAAACTGTCGTAGGAGACTTATTTTTCAGAGCATGCAAATGAAAGAGCTGAAGAGCGCCATCATGTTTCAATCCCTTGACCTCGTAAATTTTGTCATCATCAACCTTTTCATCGAGTAAGCTCCGATCTCGAGTTGTTATAATGATTCTACTTCCGACACCAAACTTAAGATCATCTCCAACAAGAAGTTCTAATTGCCTTGAATCATTCACGTCGTCAAGAACAATGAGTACCTTTGTACGATAGAGCCTCTCTTTAAGAAGCTCTGATCCTATAGATGGAGTGTTAATATTTATACTTTCATCATCAAAAATCTCACGGAGAAGTTTATTTCGTAAGTTATATATTCCGTCTTTTCCTTCGGAATTTTCTCTAACATTTTTAAGAAAACAACAAGCTTCAAACTTGGAAGAGAATCGGTGATATACAACATCAGCAAGGGTGGTCTTGCCAATACCACCCATGCCCCAAATACCTACATTGCAAACAACGGGTGAATCAAGGCATACTAACGATTCAATTTGCTCAACTTTGGTTTCAATCTCAACTAGGCCCTTTAAATTACTTGAGCTTTTGCAATCCAATTTGTTCAATATAACTTGGACAAGTTTCTCAATGGAATCGGCCTCTGTCCTGGAAATATAAGTAACCACGAAGGAAAAAAAATAGTTACTAAGTCCAGCATTAATGAATCTTGTTTGAAACAAAGGTCACAAGTAAAAAATTCTGCAAGACTTGCAAATTTAGTTACCCGGCTTTGTTTGAATAATCATAACCAGATAGGTTGGCAGCTTTCTCCAAAGCATCCCTCCACTCAAGCACCTTGTCCATACAGTCCTTGAAACGTTCTTCAAGCTTGGCAAATGCATCTGCATAACTCCCCTGTTGTTTTCGTACATCCTGTGGACTGATGTCGTAAAAAACGGGTATAACAAACTGTCCATCCCTTTCCTTGCATCCTTTTATATGCACGAGTTCATCCAGACACCATGTGGAAGAAGCGTAGTTTTTTGAGAAAATGATCACCGAAAGCTTTGATTTCTCAATAGCTTCCAGAAGGGCAGGTCCGATTTCATCCCCTCTCTCAAGTTTGTAATCTATGTAGGTGTCAAGTTTCTTTCGAAGTAAAGCAGCATGAAGGTGGCTGGTGAAAGTGTTGCGGGTGTCCTCACCTCTGAAACTAAGAAACACATCATACTTTCTTGAAGGTGACGAGATAGCAGCAGCAGAGGAAGAGGAAGAAGCCATACTAATAACCTGGAAACCCCACTATTTATATTTCACAACCTGCAATCCAACCATATATATTTTTCATAACCTGCAAATCCATCCGGATCTATTTCATGACATTTACACACATATGTATATTCATAAGGGGTCCGTTTAACTATGACAAAATATGAAATTATTTATTTAATTAAGCCAAAATCCCCTATATACAACTGACATACATCTCAATTAGTTTAGAACATTTACCCTTGAACGCACCTGAGGTCACTGAATTCGAATCTCCTTCCCCAACATAATCACTTCTATCAACAAAAAAAACAAAATCAACTTTTCTATCTGGGTGGGCTTCAAAAACATTCTGAAGGACCAAAAAGTCACCACAAATTAACAGTCGCTTCACAATATAATAAGAAATGTAAGAGAAGACTATAATTATGTGGTAATTAATTCTCCAAGTGTAATTAAGTCAGTGAGAGTACCTCTGAATCGAGAAAGAAATTGATTAGGAAATATTAAGATCTAGAGAGATCGAATATGAAGACTGGTCAAGTTGAAGCTTTTCCAGAACCCTGACGAAAATAATCCAGCGCAAGAGAGAAATATAGAAAGAAACAAGTTGGAAGAGAGATCATGTTGTTTCTAACGACTTGTGTGGGTTGTTGACTTGCGCAGGTGTTGGACAAGTCTAACCATGCATACGAATTTTTCTTCTTTTTTTTTTTGGTAAAATCCTTTCCGTAGAAAGGAACAAAATTTTATTCCAGCATTAATTTACAACAAAGGCCCATTCATTAATTTACAAACCAAAGGCCCATATATACATAAACAAAACAAACAGAGGCCACCCAAGCTAACCTAAAAGAGCCCAACCAAGGGAGAAAGTAGTAATCATTGTGTAATCCAGAAGATGAAAATACGGAGAATCTGTATATCATGGTTAAATATGAGAAATAAGTTTTGACATTCCAAAAGATGGCTGCATATTCATTTCGGAACTTCACAGCCTTTCTTCTTAGTTAAATGAATTAACCAAGATTGGTTTTTTCTTTATTATTTGGTCCATTTGGTAATTGTTGAGTGACTAAGTATTACTTACCAATTGCAATGGATCATTGCGCTTTCAATTACTGGAGGTCTGAATGCTGTTGTGATGTGCCGATATCTCTATAATCATCAGGTAAGATTGTTTTTCATGAAATTAATGCTTTTTAAGAAAGCTTTAATTTTGGTATAAAAAAAATGAATAAATTCACTGATGAATTGTTTTTGCAGAATGAAGATGGGGAATGGGCTCTCTGCATATGGAGGGCCAAGTACCATGTTTGTAAAATTATTTGGTTCTTTGTTGAACACAATTTTAAAATCCAAGGAAAGAAACACTGTTCATTATCAGTGCACGAGCGGAAATACCCTTTGCTTCCTTTGTGTTCTGATTCTTTCTGACCATTTTACCCTTTCACTAACAGTGCACGGGCGGTGCTGTTTTGCTTTGTGTCTCTTTCTCTTCTCATTTTCATTGCTTTTCTTTGGCCACGCGTCCACCATTCTCTTGCCACGTGTCGATCATCCTGTAATGGTTCGCTTCGGATCTCTGGAATTTTCTTTCGGTTTCCATTTCCTTGGTTCGATTATACTTCTTGGTTTTATTTCGGTTTCTGCTCCTCTTTGGCAAAACTTTCTGCTTCTCTATGGTTCCTGGTGAGATTTACCACTTTCTTGATTTTATTCTTATGTTATTTTTGGGTTTTGTTTATAGCCTCCGATTCTACATGTGGCTATTTAATTTTGTTTAGTTTTCAGTGTCAGGGCACTGTAGCTTATTGTTTTTCTTGAGCTTTCTTTTCAGCGTTTGAAGGCTTCTGTGCTGAGGCTCAATGATAACAGTGGTGAGTTTCTTTTGCAGAGACTCGTTCTTCCCAGTAATCAAGCTTTATTGAGTGATTTATCTGCTTAATTTGGGGTTGGGGTTGGTTTTTTTCTGTCTCACCAAGCACTTAATTTCCTCCGCTTCATGCATACTGCAAAGTCCCCACGAATTTGTTGTTGACCCATCTGGGTTGATCATGTCTTCACTGGTCATGATTGCAGTTTTGTCAAGGATTCTGAAATTTAGTAAATTGCAACTTTTTGGTGAGCGAAACATATGTCAATTATTTAGGTCTGTTAGGGTTTTTGGGCTGGTTTTTTTATTGCCGAGTTTTATACAACATAGATAGTGAAGCTAGAGGTAATTGAGGAATATTTTGTGGTGTGGTAGATATTTCTCAGCAAAATTGAGAGAGTAGTTATATTTTATTTAAATATTTGTATAGTTTTTGGAAGAGGTTAAGTCTATGGTACTCAAGATCTTCAGAGACCGATGAGAATTACCAATCTGCTACTACTCTAAACCTTCTCAGGGTGTTCGTCACCGAAGTTACGCAGCTATGCCGAGGGTCACGTAGTGGAACTTGATTTCACAGATCACAGTGAACAGGGTGATAGGTATATTTCCTCACTTTTACCATTTTTAGAACTTAGATTAGTGATAAATTAATTCGAATCATGTGGCATGAACTTAAAGCTCTGTTTGGGAAAGTGGGCTCTTTACCCTAAAGTTGCTTGCTTTTGGTAATATTTGGAATTGTGCTTCTAAGCTGTTTTTCAAGCTTTTGGCCATACTAAATGGAGCTAAATTGAACAACTCTTTTGTTGTATTGTATTTTCTTTCCTAAATCGATTGTTTTTTTGTTGAAAAATGTGAATGGGTTTTGTAGATCAAAGTTTTTAAGGGCGAAAATTATGTTTCAAATTTTAGATATGAATATTACACATTCTAGGTGTTGAATTCATATTTGTTTTGGTGTATTGTGTTTTTGAATGTCATTTAGTGCAGTATAGCCTTAACTTAAATGTAGTTTTGTGTATCTTAAGTACTCATTTGGATTTTGAGAAGTAAGAGAGAGTTTTGCACGTATTTGAGGAAGCTCCTATAAGTTTTTGGTTTTTTGTGTTGTGATTCGAACAAATTTCGGTTTTTATATTTATTAATTTTTGTTGTGTGAGTAGTATTTATTAGGCTTGATGTTTTTGAAACACCAGGTGGTTTGGAGACGTTTGAAATCATAAGAAGACTCAAAGATTTCAGCTAGGTTTGAATCAAAGCACCAAATGAATTCTTCTTCCAGGTGATGATTAAATGTTCCCAACTTTTTTAGTTGTATAAAGACTTGGGTAGATAGGAATTTGTTTTTACTCATGTGTTTCACTAATTCTTTGGTAATAGATAAATCTTTGTGAACAGTCTTCTGCTTCTATCAGTACCCATGGTAAGTTCTTATCAATTTACTTTTAACAGTCAGGTCATTTGGGACCAAATGTTCTTTTTCAACTTATGCTTGGTTTACTCTTCTTTTGCAGCCTATTTTTTTCACACATTTAGTCTTCAGTAGATGGGCTAAGGAATTCCCACGTGGCATTGTATCAAATTATCATTGATCGAAGGGTATGGCTTTGTAAGATCATCTTCTGTTCACTTTGATCAAATTATTTGTCAACCGTTTTAGTTTTTTATAATTATGATATTATTTCTTATTTGGCCTTAAGATTAGTGGACTTAAACTTTGTTTATTATCTTTGCAGTAAGAAGAGATAACAATATTAACTTGATAGTAAATGGTCCGTTCTTTTTATTTCTTTTTTTGGTTGCAATGTCCATACTTAGTGTAATTTGTACCTTAAGTTTTACCTTTGTTCCATAATAAATGTGTAAAGATGACCATGTTGTACATTACATAGTTTGGGAATTAGACTAAGTATTTTGATCAATCAGATTAAATATATTTTAGCTTTTCTTACGTCTTAAACTGACACACCCCGTCCCGAAGGAGGGCATGCTGGCCGTCACGTGAGAGTGACGTAACCATTTGCACAGTACGGAAGCTTTAAGATACAATTTATAAGTTGATACACCCGAAGGTGAGTCCTAATTTTGTCCAATCTGTCAGAACACCGTCGAATTCCTCGTAGTCACCACACCTTTGTGATTCCTGAACCTGGAGGGGCGCAAAACCAAAATTGAGTGGGTCAGTAAAACAATTCTTTTTCCAAATCCAAACATTTCTCAAAACGTTGTAACCCCTCTCCGTAAAACCTGTATACTTTCCCAGAAATGTAAAATATAAATATACATATATATTCTCAAGACTTCAAGTCGTTAACTCAACATTTTCATAACAATTATGCCATGCCACATCATCTCAACATTTCTCATATTAATTATGCCATGCCACATCATCTCAACAGTAATAAGGTATGAATGCATCAACATAATCATATCAGGTGCAAGAAAGTAATCAACCGTAGGCCCTCTAATAGCCCTGTACGGTTGAACCTAGAGCTCAAAATCTATCATTATCACTCTACCGGAGTCACCTCTGTGACCCGTCCGGCCTTCTGCACGCAAGTTACGCTCTAGTGCTTCTCATAAATCATCTGTGCACATAATCTAAGGTCACCCACCAGTCGGAATCTCACTAAACACTCTCGCGACTGGTCTGTTCGTACCCACTCCGCGTGACTGTACGACTAGCATCTACTTGGATCCAAGGCGAGCGTGCGATGCGGTGAATACTATAAGCACTAAACTATGGTGCAGGATTTGAGCTCAATATACATCAACATCATCATAACAGAAATAAATACTCACATGTGCGTCCACCGCACCATTTCATACATATGCATCATAAATCAATTCTTACATGTGCGTCCACCGCACCAATTCATACATATGCATCATAAATCAATTTCTTACATGTGCGTCCACCGCACCAATTCATACATATGCATCATATATTAATTCATGCATGGCATTTCAACTCACATTTCTATATACTTTTCATATCAATTCTATGCATGGTATTTCACTTTCCCGTTTTTCCACATAACTCATATGCATTTCATTTTTAAACATATTTTCATTTCAATTCAATTTCTGGGAAACGTCAAGTATATATATATACGGAAAACAAAACTGCCCACTCACCTGGAGTTCGTCCAACAACTCCCTAGCACCACACATCAAGGCGTCATGACGATCGCTGCCTAGAATAGTAATCAAATCCAGGCTCAGAATTCATATCGATAGAATACATAACTTATATAAAATACGTCACTACGTTGATCGATCCGGAAGATCTGCCACTCAGATTTTAAATCCATAACTTCCAGAGGTCCACATTATACCTTTAGGACAACATCCTAAAATTTCATTACCATCCAACGGTCGGATCTCCGTCAATTTCCAAAACTAAGTGACGGTTAACATTTTATATTATGGACTTACAATTCCAATTCCGGAAGATCCGTAACTCGGATTCCCAATCCGTAAGTTCCAATAATCCTCAAATATTACGTATTACAACGTATCAAAGTTTGGTGACGATCCAACGGTCGGATCATCAATTCACATTTTCACCTAAATGTGAAAACTAAAAAACGTTATTTGAACACCTAACCAACAATCCTCAATAACTTTCTCATACGGTGTTCAATTTAGGTATATGAATATACCACAGTGATCTACTCGACGTCACGGACGTCGACATATTTTTAAAATAATTTTATTTTTATTTTTTATTTTTACTGTAGCACCTTCTTCTTCCTTGGGTCGCCGGACTGGTTTTTCCGGCGGCCGTTTTCCGGGCAGTTTTCAAATTGCCATAACTTTGTCATTTCTCAACGAAATCAAGTGATTCAAAAACGAAAGTTGTAGCCCTTGAAGAGACAAAGAGAATGGTACCTTGCACAACACCTAGTTCGCCGTGGTTTGGCCGGAAACTGCCTCGAAAGCTCCGGCCAAACTTTGAACTTGTCGATCTCCGTGTTCTTACGTCCAAAAACTTCCAACAAAGCACTCCGAGCTTCCTTGGGACCTTACTAAACTCGCTGTGATCTTGTTTTAGCCTAAAACGTAACCAATTCAAAGCTCATGAACAGTACACTTTCATGGGGAGTTTAGAATCTAGGTTTTCCGAAGTAAAACTTACCTGAAATGGATACCAACGTGATCGTGAAGTCCTCAGGATTCCAATGGTGGTCTCAAACTTGACGTTGGTATAGATTTAGGGTGGTTTTGGTGGTGGTCCGAGTGAGTTCGAAGGAGAGAGACAGAGAGAGTGAGAAATCGTGAAGGAGGAGAGAGAAAGACAGTGAACGGGAAATGAGGAGGGTTTTGAGGGATGTGGGGATCCCACGTGGTCCTTATTCCAATCTCCAAACACCAAACTTTAACATTTTAACCTAAAAATCTAAATTCCATTTTATTTTCAAACTTAGGAACCTAGATAATTAGCAACCTGAGCTTCACAAATTTAGTATTTCTTAAGGGCAATTTCGTCCATTCACAGCCACGAATATAATAATTTGGAACGGGCTGTGACATAAACTGTCAAGATATAAACTTACGGGTCGTTTACATAAAATTCACAAATCATGACGTCAATTGCAAGTTAGCATATGATCACGTGATGCATAGAGGAACTAAGAATTAATGGACAATTTTATGTATTGGTGCTTAAATTTCCAAGAAGACGATGAGCTCCATTTTCTTTTAAATCTAGATCAAAGCTAGATTAACCTCTCATATGGTACGTAAATTCAATTTGCAAAGAAAGCAATCAATGCTTCTTCTTTTGGTTTTTTGTTTTTTTTGTTTTTGTTTTTTTTTAACAATAATACTAGAACAAGAATAACAGGTTTAATCCTTTGAATGTCATTAAAATTTTATCTCCGATATAAAAAGGTTTTTGCCAATTGTTATTTTTGAAGGTTATGACAATTTATGACATCATCCGGTGTTACTATTGGAGAAGATTGCTGATCAAAATAATAGGTACCTTGCAGTTTTCTTTGAAGTATCTTATTAAATTTATTTAAAAACTGCAAAAATTACTCAATTTCTTTAGCAAGTATAAAATCGTTCTTCTTTAACATTCTTATTTATTTGTACTAACAGCTTCTATTTTTTCAAATCATAACAGAGAAGCATGTACATCATCACAAATAAAACAAAAAAATTGTGAAGCGACAATCAATAAAATTTTCAGGTACTAATTATTATGTGTATAAATACAATTTTAAATTATAATACACCTAATATGAATGCACATGTTTTACGTTTTTTAAACCCACAACGTGTGGGCACTATTACTAGTATATACTAAAGCCGAATGGGAAAAGCACTGTTCCACCGTACAGCTAAGTGGCGAAATTACCCCTTTTACTGAGCAAATCTTCTTCTTTACCTCACTTGCACAGTGAATTGACCAGTTTGCCCATCTTTGATAAGCGTTGCCCAGTGAATACGTGGCTCACTCTCCTCATTCGTTCTCATCCTGTTTCTTACTGCACTGCTTCCTCTGCAGTTTGAACCGCTTCCTTTTTGCTTCACTTCTAACCGAAACCAAAAACAGCTCAACCAAATCATCTCCTCCCTCGCTCACCGCATCTCTCTCTCAAGCTCGCAATCACTGCAAAAAAACTCAAACCAAGAAATCCATTTCCACAATTTCTCTTACAGTCACCGCTTCTCTCTCGCTCACCGCTTCATCGTCAACAAATCCCAACCGCAGCCCCACTACAAACCCATCTGGATGGAAAACCCATCGAGAAATCTTGGTCGTCGGCCTACACCCGGACTGCAACGTCGTTTTGACTCACCCCAGCGTCGGCAAATTTCGACATAAAAAGTGATTCTTTTCAACATATTTGTATAAATTCGTTCATGCACTTGAAATTTTATGTTTGATTAGTGTATGTTTTCATAATTAGATCATATCAAGCTCCATTCATGCCCACTTCCCGTCTTCTTGATAAAGTTTGTTTGTTTTTAGTTGAGTGTTTGGATTAGTTTCTTAGGGTTAGAATGGAAGAAAATGAAGAGAACTTGGAGATGTGATTGACGGCTTCAAGGCTGTGCAAAATGCAGCAGCCATAAGTTCATTAAGTAATGGAAATCTTGTAGGGTATGGTGCATTGCCAACATCCATACTTCCTTAAGGGAGTGATTGACAAGAGACTTAAACAACCCTTTCATCCGTACTACTCTAGATTAAATCCTAGCCCTTCATTTGGGTTTTAAGTGATGTAATCTGAAGTGTACACTTGTCACTTACACACACATACATTTAAACTAAAAAACTAGCCGTTGGAGGCTAAAACCCTTTCTTCTTTCTTCTTCGATGCAGACCGAAACCATGCTCGGGAGCTCCTTGCTGCCTTCGATCCCTCGACTTCAGAAGCTGTTTAGCTTCCAACACTTCTGTCAATGGCGACAACAGAGGCTAAGCCTGAAGCCAAATCAAAACCAAAAGAAATTGAAGAGAGTTCCGAAACTCTTCTCAAATGCAAGGTAATTAAAACTTGAAAAAAAAAATTATGAGCACCAATAACAAAAGATTATGACTTTCACATGTTTATAACATCTTCTAATTCTGTACTAAAATTGAAATTGTGAATCCTTATAAACAATCCTCAGGGAAGGCATCTTCCCGGTATGCTTCGCCACAAGCAGTTGTATTGAAGCTGGAAGATGGGACGGGTCTTCTCTTCCCCTCACAATCTGAAAATGCCTAATAAAGAGTGAACGCTGCCAATCTTTTGATAACTATGAACTTATGTACAAAAATTTAGCTTCCAAGCATCTCTATCTTTTGTATTGGTATATGGTCCAGCCCATGATGAATGTTCTAGATTATTCTAGTAAGCAAGTGAGGTGGCCAGAGCATGCTAGACAATTCTAGTATGTTATCAAGTTGATGGAAGAAGCTAGAAAGTACTAGCTTCCTTGGTTGCAAATGGAAAGATCCATGCACATGTTAAAGAATTCTAGCAAAGTTCAAGTTGGTGGAAGAGTTTAGAAGAATTGTGAAGATTCCACCAACATACAAGATTAGTGTGGATAATTCTAGTTTAGGAAGGTAGTGGAATTATCTAGATATCTCTAGCATGATGTTTCCATGCTTCTTCAAGGTTCCATCCATGCCTATAAAAGGAGAAGGCATCCACACCATTTGTATGAACCAACCAATCAAGAGAGTAGTGAGTAGCAAATGATCAAATCCAAAGCTAGAGTTCCACTCCAAGAGTGAGAGTGTTCCACTACACATTGTGTGAGTGAAGTTTAGAGTGATAGAAAGTATGTGTCATACTTTCTTGTATCCATCAAGCCTTGTTTTTGGTTTGGTAAGACTACTCTTGTTGTACTCATATTTTCCATATAGTGAAGATTGATCCTGGTTTGGTGGACGTAGGCATAAATTGTCGAACCACATAAAATTTTTGGTGTCCATTTTCTACTTTACGTTGTGCATTCTCTATCTTGTAGTACCGACATTCCTAACATTTTGAACAGTGAGCACTTAAACACTCTCAATCTTTTGATGGCTATGAACACTGCCAATTTCTATAAATCTAGGTTCAATAATTTATGTTTTCTGTATGTATATATTATCAAAATATGTTGAGCACTCGCAGCAACGCGCAGAGCACTTTTGTTAGTGATTATTATGAAACGAATTATTGTAGGAGAAGATAAGATAAGGCTACATGATTTTTGGAGTTTTTTTATATTAATTTGTGAATTAAATGATAAATTAAGTAAATGAAATATTAAAAATTAATAAAAGAATGTTTGATCAAAAGCCTAAAAATCATAACAATTAGTATTACGGTCTACTAGTATTTCTCGCTAAACTCATCATATCGATTGGTAAAACAAAAAAAAATGCCAAAAGCTATAGACGTTTGATATAAAAAATTCAAAATTGAACCTACTATATCAAAACGCCTCTTATTAATTACTTGGAGAGCCGAAGCGTTACAACAACAGAGACTAATACAAGGAATCCCTCGGCCACAAGGCTTACAAACAGCTTAAAAGATGAGAATACAAACAATAAGGAGCTCAAATTCTTAATTTTTCATTTCCAACTTTTTTTTTTTTGCTACTCCAACCTGTAGTTCCTCCCGACTTGATGGTCTCGACATCCTGAGCATACAGCAGGCTGATCCCACACTTTTTCACCGTTGATGGGACGCTGAAGTGGGCATACACAGTGTAGAACTCAAAACAGAACTCAGTGACAAGTTTGTAAAAAGAAGTGGAGCGATTTAAATTTGCTCCCTCTCCAAGTGCAAACGCACCATACCACACAAATATGGTACCGGAATGAAAATAAGTAAACCGTCTCCCATCTTCATTAAAAGGATAATGGGAAGGATAAATGGCTTTATGGCTTTCACCACTATTAGTTTTAAAATTGCACGAGCATCCAAGCATCAGATCTTTAGAATCAACCTTGCCACGGAGAACAACAGATAGAGCAAAACCCAAAAAATCTGTACAATACCAATTTCGAGGAAGCTTGATAGTTATCGCAGATCCTTCATTTTGATGGCAGAACCAATTTGGGATTTCATTTCCTGGACATACAGTGCTAACAGAGACGGTGCTACCTAAAGTCCGACAAGTGGTAGGGATAGATGAAGTCATTGCCTGTAACATCGATGCATGGAAATCAAATAAATTATTCAATACGTGAAAAAATTGCATAAAAGAGATATGAAAGTGTGTGCTAGTGCGTGCGTGGGTGAGAGAGAGAGAGAGAGAGACCATGACAATTTCTTCTTCTTTATGTTGCTGAGTTTTCAATGGCCCAGTTGCCACTCGCATAATTCTTAACTGTGTGTCAGCCATTATATTAGTCCTTGCATTTTCATCCAAGTTTCGGCAATCAACAAAGTTAAAACGCCCTCGAAACAATTCATATTTATCCCAAGCTTGTGTGAGTGAATTTCTTGAACTTGAAACTGTCTTCAGTGAAGTGCAGCCACTTGCTTCAAGATAACATAGCACTGGTAGCTCTGGTAAGAATTTTAGACTTCTGCAGTTTCCCAGATTCAGCCACCTAAGCTTGTCAAGATCTTTAAAATAAGAAGGAATTCGAACCAATCTAAAACAGCCATAAAGCACTATATGCTCAATTCTTTTACTGCGAGAGAGATCTGGAACTTCAGTCAGATGCGTGCAAAAACTTAGTTCAATCACTTTTAAGTTCCCAAGATTCTGTAACAAATTTAAGAAAAATGGAAAGAAGAACATTATTGACTTCGGCCGAATAGGTTTCCAGAGGCACCATAGTTTATACAAAGAACAAAAGTTAGCATATATATACTTCTATAAAAAAACATATAAACAAGAAGAGGAAGCATATATATACCTGGTTTTTACTCCAAAGTTTTGCCACAACAAAGCTGCCGGGCATTCGAAGCTCAACAAGATTTTGTGGAGAAAAATTTGATGGAAGAGATTTCAACGGGTATCCCAGCCAGTAAAGATACCTGAGAGAATTGGGAAGAGACTGAAGACCTTGAGAAAGGTCCAGAATGTTGTTGTACCTCTTGCCAAAGCGAGGAACTTTAAAGAATTTCACCAATTCTGTACCAAACTGAATGCTATAGTTGTACACGACTCTTAGATGAGGATCATGAATCATCAACAATCCTAAATTAGACATCTTCTTGAAGGGTGATCCACATAATTCCAACCGTGTAATGTTAGACGTGTCAAAGGATATGCATTGAACCGTTGAAGTTCCCTGGAAATCAAGAGAAAATAGTATAATGAGAATAAATGTACAACAAAGATTACGAAAAACTACTTTTGTTGACAAATGCTTATACAAAATGAGTTTCCTTGGTTCCGTCATAGAAAGTTCATGATTTTTGGTTCTCACCGTATCATTCTCCAGTACTTGACAGACATCATCAGCAGCCCACAACCTATTACGTTTTCCTGGCTCGTCCCTGCATTGTTCCTGAACAATTGTCCGGCCCATTTCTTGCACCAAATCATGCATCTCTAAGCAATTCGTCTCTGAAATTGATATGAGAGACTTGTCAATGAGAATTTGGATTCCCGTCACGAAGAAACCCCGAATATCTAATATACTTTTTGCATAATAAACATCTTCCCCTTTCAGAAAGCATGCAATGTCAAGAAAGCATTCCTTCTCATTTTCTTCTAATCCATCATAACTAAGTCTCAACACATTTTGAATTTTTTCGCTAGGAAATTTTTTCAATCTGTTCAATTCTTCATCCCAGTCTTCTTCTGTATCGCAGCGACGGAATAAGGCACCCAAAGTTTTAAGAGCCAATGGAATGCCTTGAATATAATCTATCACCTTTCTTGAAAACACCGTATAAACTGTCGTAGGAGACTTATTTTTCAGAGCATGCAAATGAAAGAGCTGAAGAGCGTCACTATGTTTCAATCCCTTGACCTCGTAAATTTTGTCATCAACCACCGTTTCATTGAGTACGCTTCTATCTCGAGTTGTTATAATGATTCTACTTCCGACACCAAACTTAAGATCATCTCCAGCTAGAAGTTCTAATTGCCTTGAATCATTCACGTTGTCAAGAACAATGAGTACCTTTGTACGACTAAGCCTCTCTTTAAGAAGCTCTGATCCTATAGATGGAGTGTCAATATTTGTATTTTCATCACCTAAAATCTTAGAGAGAAGTTTATTTCGTAAGTTATATATTCCGTCTTTTCCTTCGGAATTTTCTCTAACATTTTTAAGAAAACAACAAGCTTCAAACTTGGAAGAGAGTCGGTGATATACAACATCAGCAAGGGTGGTCTTGCCAATACCACCCATGCCCCAAATACCTACAATGCAAACATCCGATGAATCAAGGCATAGTAACGATTCAATTTGCTCAACTTTGGTTTCAATTTCAACTAGGCCCTTTAAATTACTTGAGCAATCCAATTTGTTCAATATAACTTGGACAAGTTTCTCAATGGAATCGGCTTCTGTCCTGGAAATTACAAATAATCACGAAGGAAAAATAGTTACCGAGTCCTGCATTAATGAATCTTGTTGGAAACAAATGGTCACAAGTAAAAAATTCTGCAAGAGGTGCAAAGTTAGTTACCCTGCTTTGTTTGAATTGTCATAACCAGATAGGTTGGCAGCTTTCTCCAAAGCATCCCTCCACTTAAGCACCTTGTCCATACAGTCCTTGAAACGTTCTTCAAGCTTGGCAAATGCAACTGCATAACTCCCCTGCTGTTTTCGTACATCCTGTGGACTGATGTCGTAAAAATGGGTATAACAAACTGTCCATCCCTTTCCTTGCATCCTAGTACATGCACGAGTTCATCCAGACACCATGTGGAAGAAGCATAGTTTTTTGAGAAAATGATCACCGAAAGCTTTGATTTCCCAATAGCTTCTAGAAGGGCAGGTCCGATTTCATCCCCTCTCTCAAGTTTGTAATCTATGTAGGTGTCAAGTTTCTTTCGAAGCAAAGCAGCATGAAGGTGGCTGGTGAAAGAGTTGCGGGTGTCCTCACCTCTGAAACTAAGAAACACATCATACTTTCTTGGAGGTGACGAGAAAGCAGCAGCAGAGGAAGAGGAAGAAGCCATACTAATAACCTGCAAACCCCACAATTTATAATTCATAACCTGCAATCCATCCATATGTATTTTTCATAACCTGCAAATCCATCCGGATCTATTTCATAACATATACACACATATGTCTATTCATAAGGGGTCCGTTTAACTATGACAAAATATGAAATTATTTAATAATTAAGCCAAAATCCCCTATATACAACTGACATACATCTCAGTTGGTTTAGAACGTTTACCCTTGAACGCACCCGAGGTCATTGAATTCGAATCTCCTTCCCCAATATAATCAC